GTGAGCCAAAATCATCACAATTAAAAGAACCAAAGACTTAAACTACTTCAGTCTGTGCGCATTGAATTTATTTAATACACGAGTTTCACAATCTGAGTTGAATTACTGAAATAAATGAACTTTTCCATGACATTCTAATTTATTGAGATGCACCTGTGTATATATACACCAATGTACCTGGCAACCAAATGGTGCCGCAGGTGCAGTTCACAGAGCAGTGTATATACCACTGGAGCACCGGCTTTTCGTCAGTAGAGTGTTCGGTGTCAGAATGGGAAAAGCTGCCAATTTATCTAAGTTTGATAAAGGACAAACTATGATGGCACGGCACCTTAGAACTTCGATCTCAGAAACGGCGCGCCTTGTGGGTTGTTCACATGCCGCTGTGGTGAGTACGTATCAAAAGTGGTGCACAGATGGCCAAACGAAGAACCGTCGTCCGGCCGTGTGTCATCCGCAGCTCACTGATGCCAGAGGGGATAGGACACTGCCGCACATTGTTCACAACGACTGCAGGGCCAATCGCAGATACACCGATTACCAACAGAGGATGCACTGTTGGGTGTACACTTCTTCTTAGAACACTTTAGGCCCCATTATCCAAATAGCACAATTCCTGACAGCTGTCAGGTATCTGAACATCGTTGCGGACCAAGTGCACCCATTCATAGCAACTGTGTTCCCTGCCAGTGATGGCCGTTACCAACAGGATAATGCGCCATGCTACACTGAAAGAATTGTCGAGGAGTGGTTCGAGGAACATGATAGTGAATTTCTTCTAATGCCTTGGCCTCCAAATTCAGCCAGTCGAACATTTGTGGTTCGCGCTACAATGTATGGGAACTGGAGGACCTGCTGTTGACATTATGGTACCAGATCCCCCAGAAGACCACCTTGTTGAATTAATACCTTGCCACATAGCCACTGTTCTGTCGGCTAAAAGAGGTCCTACAGGTTATTAGATAGATGGTCATAATGTAATGGCTCATCGGTAGCAGCGCCATTCAATGGATTCAGAATTAATACATATATTTAAATCTAAGCAGAGATTTTGATAATCTAGTTTATTTCTGATATTTTTGTTTTGGCCATTAATATATATATTATTGTTAAGGGCTTTTCCAAATCTCTAGTTGTTTCTGTGACACTTCCTAATTGCTTTGTATTGATCCAATGCTTTGCTGAGCTGTTTCTATTTATCGCTTTGCGCACTAAAATCAAGAGCTATAAACTGCAGATACGCAGTAACTGAAGGCAGGCTGCCATTATCTCAGTATTTGGGAAGCGTAATCCTACTCCTCCACCGCACAGTATACATCCTGCTCGCCCTGCGAGTGTTTTACTATTCCAGACGCCTTTAATGATCTCTCTCTCCATCTCACCCATAATGCTGGCCTTGCCCAGGCTGGTGATAGACTCGCCGTAGTGTCTGCGGGGCTGTGGAGGGGAGGTGCAGGGGCTCGGGAGGCTCTCCGTATCGGACACAGAAGCACTTTCCTTTGACGGATTAAGTAGAGTGGGACGGATCTGGTCATACGGTGTGGGGCTGCTGGTGTTGTACCTAAAAAAAAGCAATGGTTACATGAATGTACAAAAATATATGCATTGTACATTATAGAAACATATGTTTATTTGCTTACAATATTTTTCTTTGCATACAATATTTTTTAAAATAAA